GCTCACTGGCTGAGCGAGGAGCGGGGGCAACACCGAGGGTTGCGATCCCGTTGCCGGTCCCGGTCCGGTATGGGCGCGACACTGAGGGTTGCGATCCGTTGCCGGTCACGAAAAAAGACAAAAAGAAAAAAAAAAAAAAAAAAAAGACCTGCTCCTGAGAATGTTGTGCAGGCCTCTGTGGGGAGTAGGCCAAAGCAGAGCCAGGCCCAGCCTTTCCAGGAGCCTGGTCTGGGGGCGGGTGGGGGAAGGACCCATAAATAGGGTTCTACCACAGCTCTGGGCTCCCATGAGAGTGTGGGTAGGAGCCTGGGGAAGGAGGCCTGGCTCTCCAGTGACCCCATCACCTTGACCTACCTTCTTCCTCCTGGGTCTCAGATTCTCCACCTGTCAAACATGTACCTCGGGGGGTCCTGCACGGCCCTGGACTGGGGACCAAAGTGCTGGAGCCCAGTGTGATCTGTCCCCCCCTCACCCCCTGCAGCTCCCCCTGCGGCCCCCACTATCCAGAGACTGCCGGGATCTGCTGCAACGGCTTCTGGAGCGGGACCCCAGCCGTCGCATCTCCTTTCAGGATTTCTTTGCCCACCCCTGGGTGGATCTGGAGCACATGCCCAGTGGGGAGAGCCTGGCACGAGCTGTGAGCAGGCTGACGGGTGGGGTGGGTGAGGGCCAGTGGGGGGTCTCATCTGTCTCCTTTTGTGGTGAACAGGTGACTTGCCTGACAGGCGGAGGGTGGGCTCAGGGAAACTGATCTTCTCCCATCCTGGTGAGCGTGGGAAGGTTGGGAGGTAGGCCTGACTCCTGATCTGCCCGGCCCCAGACTGCACTGGTGGTTCAGGCTGTGACGAAGGACCAGGAGGGGGATGCCGCGGCTGCCTTGTCCCTCTACTGCAAAGCTCTGGACTTCTTCGTGCCTGCTCTGCACTGTGAGTCCCAAACCATGCCTGCAGCCCCTGGTGCAGCAGGGGTGGGGGTCAGCTATAGCTGTAGTGGATAGGTTCCAGAAGTTCCCCATCCAGAATTTTGTAGGAGATAAAGCAGAGCATAAAACTTGAACTTGGTGTTTTGGGGGATTCCAGAGGGTTTGGTGTGGGGCAGGGGTCCCCCTACCCCGTGCTCCTCATACAAACCCCCACCTTCTGCAGACGAAGTGGATGCCCAGCGGAAGGAAGCAATTAAGGCAAAGGTGGGTGAGTGAGAGTCGCCATGAGGAAATGAAGGGGAGAGAGCCCAGAGATTGTGGGGCCTCTGCGGAAAGGCTCTTTTAGAATTGGAACTTCCTCTCCTGGAACACAGAGCTGGGAAGGGGTCAGGCCAGCCCCATTCGACCTCTGAGGTGGTTGCAACATGGGGTGGTCACTGAGAAACCAGAAGGAGAACTTGGAGGTGGGTGCTGTCAAGGGGGCAGGTGTGGGACAGCCCCACCTCAGGCCTTCTCCCTCCTACAGGTGGGGCAGTACGTGTCCCGGGCTGAGGAGCTCAAAGCCATTGTCTCCTCCTCCAATCAGGCGCTCCTGAGGCAGGGGACCTCTGCCCGAGACCTGCTCAGAGGTAGGCTCCAGTTCCTGGGTGACCCACCAGGCCCCCAGCAAACCTCCCTCCAGCCCCAGGAAGAGACAGGTTGGAGCAGTCTCCCTGCAATGAATAAGCAGGCTGCTTCCCTCAACCTGAGCCTTTGCTCCCTCATCCCAGAGATGGCCCAGAACAAGCCACGCCTTCTAGCTGCCCTGGAAGTGGCTTCTGCTGCCATGGTCAAGGTTTGTGCCCAGTAGGAGGGGTCTAGGTGGGACAAGGAGGAATTGAGGTCATGAGCCTAACTGACCTGGTGTCCATGTGGCTGCAGGAGGAAGAAGCTGGTGCGGAGCAGGATGCCCTGGACCTGTACCAGCACAGCCTGGGGGAGCTGCTGTTGCTGCTGGCAGGTGAGGCCCCCATCACCACATGCCTGCTGGTTCCCGAGCTGCCCTGCCCTCACCACGTGCCCTCTCTTTGCAGCGGAGCCCCCAGGCCGCAGGCGGGAGCTGCTTCACACTGAGGTGCCCACTGGGGTTGAGGGAGTTGGAGGGCTTCCTCTTCCCCTTTTACTCTGCTGTGTCTTTGGGGACTTCCTCGGGTTCCCTCTGGAATCCCCTACCCTCAGGGTGTTTCGAGTCTGGGATCAAATCTCATAGAATTGGCAAGTCAGTGGGCCATGTGCCATCAGGACTAAGGTGCTCAGATCAGGGCAATGGGACAGTCAAGATTTGAGAACCCCCAGTGGAAAGTGTGCTGGGCTGTTGCAGTCAGGAAGTTTTCCTGGAGGAGGGAGCAGATAAGAAACTCAGCGGGCGGGGGTTGTTCTAATGGACAGAGGGTTCTAGAGAGCATCAGGGGTGAGGAGGAGCTCAATTTGAAGGCCCGCCTCATGCCCTGGGCATGTCTTCCCTTGTCAGGTTCAAAACCTCATGGCCCGAGCTGAATACCTGAAGGAGCAGGTCAAGGTGGGCACATGGGGGCAAGGGTTTGTGGGTTCTCCTCTCTGCTTGTAGCTGTCTGTCCCCCAGCCCCCTTGTGCATGTCTCCCTCTCCAGACTCCGTCTGATGGCTCTCCATGCCTGTCTCTGTCCTTCACACTCGGTTGCTCAACAGCTATCTGTCGTGGCTCCTGTGTCTGTCTCTGGCTGCCTCTCAATGCTTGTGCTGCTTTTACACTCCACAGATGAGGGAATCTCGCTGGGAAGCCGAGAGCCTGGACAAAGAGGGGCTGTTGGAGTCTGTTCGTAGCTGTGAGTCCTGCCCTGGGGTCTGACCCTCCACCCAAGGAGGGGTGACGGCTGGGGGCAGCCCTGGATTCTGTCTGTCTTGCCAAAGACCTGAGACTGACCCTCCCGCCTTCCCTTCCATAGCTTGCACTCTGCAGTGACCCCAGAAGGATGATTGGACAGACCACTAGCCACCTGGAATTGAGAGGCACACTAACCCAGGCTCACACCCAGAATTCTGTGGCCCTCTGCAATCCTGGGGAGCAGGCTTCCTGGACGGACAAGTCTGAGACCCCTGATATCCCAGGATCCCCAGCTTGGGGGGCCTTAGAGGGTCTGACAACCCACACTGTGTGCTGCTGGGAACACCGGGCCTTGGCCCCTAGAGAAGGGGCAGCACTCTGAGGGAAGACTATTTCTTTCATGAGACCTTTGTCATTTGGTGGTTGCTGGGTCCTGAGTCTGTCGATTTGGTGGCAGCCAGCCTTCTAGGACTTTTGCACTGAGAAGAGGACAAGGGGCCCTGCCCTGTGCTCACCGTTCCTGGGAGGCCTTATTCCAACTCACCTCCCTGCTTGCACTGGAATGGGGGACTCCAATACCCCTCAGGGATCACCCACCCCATAGAACTCCCCCCGAATGAAATCAGCCCCACAGAACCCCCAGTCTTCCTGGAGCTCACATCTGCCCACTGTCTCAGTACTGTAAGATCATCTTTCAGGCATGAAAATAATATCCTTAGTAGGGATGGGGCAAATTTGAGAAACCCATGCCTTGTTCCAGCCCTGGCCCAGGGGGCCCACAGGAGGTGTCCTCAATCCTCATCCCACCTGCCTCTATTCCTCTTTAGGGAACACTCCCACTGTCCACACAGAGAGCCGTGTGCTGGAATTTGGGCCTGGGAGGGCGAGGCCTGGGAACTACCTGACCCATCAGGCAGGGGACCCAGCTCAGTCCAGGATACCGGTCCTAGGTTTGACATGGCCTCCACCCCAGTATGTGACCCTGGGCAAGCCCCTACCGTTTCTGGGCCAGGTCTCCCCATCTCTCCAGTGGAGCTGCTAATACCTCCACAGCCCACAGCACGGGCTCTTATGAGGACAATGAATTTAATCTGGAGAAGAATGTACACACCTGGAGTTATTTAAGGGTTTCTTTTAAAAAATCAGAGAGGGTGTTGGTGATTTCTAACCCCTATGCCCTTACATGCCTCCTGGGGCAAGAGTTGCCTATCCTCCCTGCAGGAGGCTGGCTGTAAGTAATGTAACTCATTGTTTCTCTATTAAATTATTTTCTGTACTTGCACCTCTCTTCTTGCCCTAGGAAAAACAGGAGAGGTAGCGCCTGTTCACAGCCTGGGCCGAGAGGGGCCCAAGGAACAGTTAAGGAACCTGAAGTAGGGCTGGGGGAGGTCACAGGGTGGGTGGGTAGTGGTGGCAGGGGAGGGAGAGCCACATCTGCCTCCTGCCCTCAGCCCCTGGGATGAAGGAGAGTCAGGCTGACCAGCCACCATTCCTGCCCACCCCCTAGGGGATGGCGAGGAGGGGGATGCACAGGCCTAGGAGCTGGGGAAGGCTCTTTCCCTCTGCTCAGCTCAATTGCAGGAGTGTAGTCCTCAGAAATGCTCTGCCCTCCACACCAAAAACTTGCTTGTCCCAAACAGGGTTCCCTGGCTGGTGAGTGAGCAGTGTGCTGGATTGGGGGGAAAGGCCATATTTTGGGGTATCTTATGCTCATACCCAGTCTCCAAGGACCCCCAAGCTGGGATCATTCCAAGAAGGCTCTGTGCCTTCCCCCAACACACACACCCAAGGTCTAGGTCTGACCAATACTTGTTGGGAGCATCCTTGGGGACTTAAAGGAGGGGGAACACATCCCTAGGCAGCCACCGAGAGAGGAGTTCCCTAGGCTTACCATCACGATGCTCAGTCTTCCATTCCTACATTAGAGCGCTTCTGATAATGGCATGGGGAACAGACCCTACAAGAGAATGAATTTCCTCAAATCCCTTGGCCTGGCTGTTGGGGGGCAAGTGTGGTGCAGTGTTCCAGAGGGCAGGAGAGCTGCCTACAGTCCTGGCTCTGCTACTTGGCTTTGGAGCCTAGGATCCATCAATTAGCCTGTTTCTTTAACCATAAGATGAGGATGAGGCTAAGTGCCCCAGGGGAAATTTGTAAGAGGTATTATTTATTGTACACGAGCCTGACATATAGTAAGAATTCAATAAAATGTTGTTTTCAGGTCTAGGGGTAGAAGCGTACTTCAGATTATCTCTGCAAATGGGCCAGATATAAAAGCCTCAATATGTAAAATGAGGGGAAAAAAGGGAATGACCTTATCTTTGGCTGCTGGCCAATATGGGGATCTGAACCTGTGGCCTTGGTATTGTAAGGCTGTGCTCTCACCAACTGAGCTAACCAGCCAGCCCTGAAGGAGGGGAATGAATGGAGAAGTCTGGGTGGGGGGGAGAGTAGAAATGACAAAGGATGGAGATGGAAGACTAATTGGATTGAAGGATAGGAGAGAGCGTTGGCCGATGGACCCCAATTGCTTATTTGTGATAACTGCATTGACTGGGCGTGAACAGAGGCCCAGAATTCTTAACCATGTGGGTATGGAGAGGAGTGGGGTCCCCAAGGGGGGTCTGTGTAAAGGAAAGGCTGGGAGACTGAGCCCCTGAGAAGGGCCCTCTCTGGGCAAAGCATTTGCATGGCTTCCAGTCTGAGCCTTTGCCGAAGCTGCCTGCCAAAGAGGGAGGCAACCAAGTTGGAGGGCTGGGGGCAAGGGAGGAGTGGGGCTCTCTATATAGGGCTCTCTTCTCATGGCAGAGGCTATGGGAAACATGCAAATCTGCTTTTCAAAAAATATACTTTTCTGGGCTGGCCCTGTGGCACACTCGGTAGAGTGCGGCACTTGGGAGCACAGCGGCGCTCCCGTCGAGGGTTCGGATCCCATACGGAGACCGGTCCGCTCACTGGTTGAGCACGGTGTGGGCGCGACACCGAGGGTTGTGATCCCGTTGCCCGTCGCGGTACGGGCGCGACACTGAGGGTTGTGATCCCGTTACCGGTCACGAAAAAAGACAAAAAGGAAAAAAAAATACTTTTCCACTTAGGAGAGGGAGTTTCCACCTCTCACCTCTAACACTTTGAAAGTGTCCAAAGCAGGACAGATACTCAAAGCAATGTTCAGGGGACCCACCCTGCCCTGTCCTCCCACCGCTACTCAGTCACCCAAGTTCAGAGCCAGCGCTGGGCCAGTCCAGGGGAAGGACAGAATCTAGAAGGGCTCTTGTCTCCAGAGGCCAGGTTGCTGTCCCAGCCCTCCCTGAAAGGAAGATGGCCCAACACTGAATCTAGGGCATGAGGGAAGGGGCACATCAGTGACCACTTTGCCCCAGAATAACTCACACCCACACTGATACGCTCAAAAATCCCACAGACACACAAAACATGGAAAGCCGTGAACAAGCTCATAGATCCCTGCAATCACCACATGGATGTACCCTCATGATCACACACACAGCTACAGCTTTTGCTGAATGAGGCTGAGGCAGCCCCACCAATGCTGCTGCTCCCCTGGACCCAGGCCACCAACCTCCCCTGCTCTCCTCAAGCCTCACACAGGCTCCAGGAACAGCTCTGCCTGATTGGCACTGGCTCAGAGGCATGGCAGTAGGCACTGTGACTCCCCACCCCCACCCCAGCCTCGGTCTGTGGGAAAGAAGCTGTGGCCTCGCAGGGCTGAGCATCAGCTGGGCCAATAGGCGCTGTCGGCAGCTCAGCTCAGCAGATGAACATGCCCCAGATGTCCCCAGTACCTGCCTGGGGGCTGCCAGAGTCTTTGGGGGGACCAACTGGCTGCTGGGAGAAAGGGAGATCCTCCACACTCCAAACCCTGATCACCCTCCCCAGTTCCTCCCTGGGGACCAACTGGTCTCAGGAAAGTCACTTGTTCTCTGCACCCCTCTTCCTACTGGGAACTGGGCCTGAGCTGTCTGGATGGGTGGAAGGCAGGAGAAGGGGACTGGAGCACCTTGGGCAGGGTCTCCCTGAAATCCTTTGTATTGTGGGGACAGAGCCCCTGAGGGTGGGGGCTGGGGAAACAGGCCAGCCATCTTTGCCTCCCCTCTTCCCCTAATGAGTATGTGGGGGGTGGGGTTTCTCACCACTTTTCCACATTTCCTGTATCCTCAGACTGCCTATGAGGGGAAGAAGGAAGAAGGAGGGAGGGAAAGAGAACAAGAGGGAGGGAGGGAAGAAAGGAGAAGGCCTGGAGCGTCAGGGTCCAAACTATGGCACCCTAATGGTGGGGGTTTTAAGCACTATGAAAAGGGAAGTTTTGGTGGTAAAACTTTTCTTTGTGGCTCTCACGTCACACCAGGTGGGTGGATCAGTCAGAGCATGTGATGTCTAAGTAGAGTAGACAGGATGGGAAGAGAGTAGTAGTTGCTGTGTTCAGGGCTTGAGGGCTTGGGAGTGGGGGCACAGGAGGGGCCCCAGCATGGCCAGGTCAGCCCCTAGCTGAGGGCATGGGTGCTGGACAGGCACTGAGCCAGAAATAAGGGAGAGGGTGGGGGGACACAGATGAGAGGGACACTGAATGAAAGAAACCCAGAGAGCAGGGCTAATGGAGAGAGGGGAAGGAAAAGGGGAGGTGGGGCGAGGCCAGCAGAGGCGGGGACCCCTCAGCCTGCACTCCTTGTCCATCTCTGCCTGAGCCCCAGAACTGGCTCCTGCAGCAGAGCCTCATCCAGCCCATTCCAGGGGCAGTGAAGAAAGGTCAGGGCTTCTTAGGGCTCCCAGGCTGTGGGGGTGGGGAACAAGTGTGGGGGCTCTGCCCCTCCCGTTCCCTGACCCCAGGGCCCAACCGGCCCTGCTTTGACAGGGTTCAGTGAGTGCTGAGCCCGCCAGGGCCCCTGCTGCCCGCTGCCCCTGCCTCTCCCTCTTGCCCTGCGAACCACTCAGGGGGAAGGGGTCTGTCCAATCCCATTAGGCAGGAGGCCCCTGGAGGGTGGAGTGCTGACGTGGGCCTTGCCGCTGACGCTGCTGAGGCAGCCCATGACCCCCCCACCCAGCTTGGGACTCTGACTCAGGTCTCCTCCAGCTCTGGGAAGGTCAGGAAGGTGGGTTTTGTTCAGTGACCACCAGGCCCTTCCCCGGGGGCAGCCTAGGAGCAGCCCAGAGGCCCCTTCCCCAAAGATGCTGAGGAGGGGGCCCAGTGTGACAGCCAGAGCAGCACTATCCCAATCCTGGGCCCATGTCCCTCCCAGTCCTCACTCTCCTAACTTCTCATTCTGTTTCTTCCTCTCTTCCACCCCCACATTACCCACTGCACAGATTTTATGCTCGTTCTTATTTTACAAAGGAGACCAAATAAAAACTTTGCCCTTGAAACCAAACCCTCAGATGGCCGTTCCTGCATGTAAATACTGGCTGGCTTCCCCATAGGCTGGCACCTCCGACCCCACAAGGGGGACACCTGGGGTTGGCTTGCCCCACCCCCTTCCTGCCCTGCCCCTGGGATGACCTGCTTGAGGAGCTTCCTGGCTGGTTTCCTGGACACCCTCCCCGCCCTCAGCCCCACCACACACACAGGTGAGTGGGGTGAGATTTGGGCTCTTCTTGTTCTTAAGGAATGAGTTACCATTTATTGATACAGTCACCCTTTGACATATGTATTAATATTACTTGTGGGAGGCTCTTCATCTTACAGAGGGAGAAACAGGCTCAGAGAGGGAAAGGACCTGTTCAAGCCAAATTGCAGTGCAAGACTGGAACACAGGTGCCCTGCCCCTTCTTTTTGTTATATTTCCCATCTCCAAGGTGAGGAAGGGGTACAGGAACGGGGCCAGAGAAAGCTGTGGTTGAGCTGTGGCCTCTCCTGTGGCCTCAGATAATGCCCCAGAGGCCCTGTCTCCCTCAGGGCCATCCCCATCCAGGTGGCTGCCACATCCTCCTCAAAGCCCAGACTACTTCATCCAGCCCCAGGCTGAACTTGATGCTGGGTGAACGCAGACCCCAGCATTGCCCAGGGCCCTGAGAGGGGAAGGCTTGAACATCTTACAAGGGGTGGCGCTGGAGACGGTTCCACAGAGACTTCCACTCCTAGTGGTAGGTGTCTTCTCCTTCCTGTGAAGCTGTGGGTGAGAAGGTAGAGGACACCCTACCTTGGGAGGAGGCTTGTGGCTATGAACTCCAAGACTCCTGGAAATCAGTAAGAAGTGGGAAGATAGGCACATTATTTGGAATTTTTATTTTTCACTGAGCTAGGAGAGGAGATTCCAGCTATGGAATCCAGAGAGAGAGTTCTACAGGAACAAAACAGAAATTGGCTGGGCCCTGGGCCCAGAGAAGGCCTGGAGCCGCCTGGGCTACTGTTCAGTGCCAGCTTTATGTTTGGCACTTGTCCCCTCACACAGCATCACTCAACTCCCAGAGCTCACAGTGGCAGCTGCTGGAGGCAGCGGCTGCAGCTCCTGCCCTGCCCAGAGAGGGGGGTGGGCTTGGCTGTAAGAGGCCAGGGAGGCCAAGACAGAAAGAGTCTTAGAAATCATCCAGTCTAATTCCCATTCTACAGGTGATGAAATGAAGCCTGGAAAGAGCAGTGGTTTTCAAGGACAATAAAACCTTTCAAGGTCGAACTCAGACCTCCTGCCTGCTGAGGTGTCTGCCCAAAGCCCCTTCTGAGCATATCTGAGTGTTTGGATTGTATTTCTGGAGGGGCTGGGCACCCAGGGGAACTTGCCCATGCGTGTGTGTTTGTGTGTGCCAGGATGCATCTGTGGCTTATGCCTCTGCACATGCCAGGGGTTTTGTGTCCCTCTGTGTGTCTCTCAACGGGTGCTCCTGTGTGCAGGAACTTGGGGCCCTGGCCAGAGAGGGATGGGTCTATTCCTACAATCTTGGAAGGCCTCTCTGGGCTGAGTGGGGCTGGGGGTGGGTCCTGAAGGGTAGCAATGGGGACTTTGTCCTCAGCGGAGAGGGAGAGACCAGAAGGCAGGCCTGGGGCATGGATGATAAGGGTTCTGGGGCTTGGGTGGGGCAGGGGAAACAAAATCTAAAAGGGGGGATGGGTCCCCAGAAGTTGAGACACACTTTTAGCCCTCATGTGGGCCCAGCCCTCTGGCCATCCCAGTGGGCAACTCCAGAAGTGGTCACATGATGTGGCACTTCTCAGCTGATTGCTTGAGGTCCCCCAGTGTGGCCTGGGCCTTATCCTTGAGTGAGCCAAGGTCCAAGCCAGGGAGGCTGGCCAGTTGCCCAAGGACCGAGGACCTCTCCTCCTCCTCTTCTGTGTCCTCCTCAATCATCTTGGCCAGCTCCCGGGGCAGCTCCACGTCGCCACCTGCCATCTGGATCTGGCTCTCATCTGTCTCGTTCTGAAGGGAAGAAGGGGTGGGGGCAGGAAGGTGGAGGTCTGTGAGGACCCAAGTTGAGGAGGCAGGGAGGAGGCCTGGATGGGGTTCTTGAGCCCCATGTTCCAGTGAGCTCAGCCCCTGTCCCCACATCCCAGGATCAAGCATTTGATGCTTGGACATGGAGACCTTGTGTTTTTATACCTTGCACTTTTATACCACCTTACTTACCTCAGAGATACTGAGGGACTAGCATAGTGAGCAAAGACAAAAATGCCTAGGAGTCATACTGTCACATGTTGACTATTGTTAATTGCAATGAAGGACATAACCACTAACAGTGATGGGTACCATTTATCAAATACCTATTATATGGCTGACATCGAGCTGAGTGCTTTTAATTCTCACAGTAACCCTGTGAGGTACTGTTATGTCCATTTTACAAAATAAGGAAATTGAGGCTCAGATCACTTAAGTAACATGCCCGTGTGCTAGATTCAGACTTATGTCACCGATTCCAACATCTGTACTCTCTTTACACAGCACTTACTGATGGCCATTGCAGTTCCCTGTGGGGAGCCCTTGGTGGCTTTCCACCTTGTGTCCTACTCAGTTGCATCCAAGTCTTGCCTCTTCTACTAGACTCAGTTCTCTCATGGCAGTAGTTTTGTCTCATATGCTTAGTACAAGCATTTAAGGAATGACTCCATTCCTAGCTGAGCTGGGTCTGCAGCAAAGCAAGCTTGCTAAGCCAGTTTTCCCTTTGAGAGATTTCCTAAATATTTGTTGAATGAGTGAATGTGAGGGGGTAGGGGATCTTCTGAGACATCCTCCCAGTTGCTTGGCCAGCCACAGGGGTACTTTGCTTTCTGCAGGCAGGCTCCATGCCCTGGAAAGCAGCCTGGAGTCCTGGGGCAAGTGCAGGCTCCATGTTCACAGGCTTGAGGGCTAATGCCACCTCCACCACTCACTGGTTGTATGATCTTAGCCAAGTCCCTTCATCTCTTCAAACCTCAGTTTTCTCATTTGTAGAGGTGGATGATAGCTACCTGACAGCGCTATCAGGGAGCAGTTAGGTGAGGGCATGAAGGTCAAGTACCTGGCACAGAGGGTGCTGCTTTCTCTCCCCTACCCTGCCCTCCACGTGTTCAGAAGCCTCAAGAGTACTCACCCCTACAATAAAATCTGCTTTCTGCCTCCTTTGTGCCTTTATCTGTCTGGGCCTGACCTGGGGTTGGATAGGTGGGGAGTAGAGGATAGAAGAGGCCTGGATTGGCTCCAGAAACACAAACTCGTCAGTCGCCGGAGGACTGGGCTTCCCTCAGCACCAAGCCCTGGCCTTTGGCAGGCGCCGGTTGCCCACACGTGAGTGAATGAATGAATAAGAGAAGGAAGGGTCTAACCCAGCACTCTGTGAGTCTTACTGGGTTAAGAGGTGCAGCACCCAGAGCGGGGCCAAGGATTCCAGAGCCTGGAGCTCAGGGCCCCGGAAGAGCCTCGAACCCGGGCTCTGCTTACCTTGGGCAGCCGGTATTTGTCTCGGAAGTGGCTCCGCAGCGTGGCCCGCTCTGCCTTCCTCTGCGTGAACTGCGCGTCCCGCTCCATCCTGCGGGGGCACCGGGGCGGAGTCACTGCCGGGGCTGAGAGAAGGAGCGGGGTCTGCGAGGAGGGGCGGAAGGGGTCTCCCAGTCCCGGCAGCCTGAGGCAGTGGTCCCGCCTGCCACCCTGCGTCTAGCGAGGGTGGTAGGAGCCGGCCGGCCTCGGTCGGGCTTTGCTGCCTCTCCCCATCACAGCGTACTTCTTTGCCGCTGGATGGAGCTAGCGGAGCCGGGGGCCGGTCTGTCTGGCTCTCGGCGGACCATAATATATATCCCTCATTGCCTCAGACTCGGCCCATCTTTCCCTCCCTGACAAGCTGTGTGTGTGGCGGGGGAATCATTCGGGATAGACTTGGGTTCGCGTCCTGGCTCCACTACCACTTTAGGTACGTCCTTGGGTAAATCACTTACATTCCTGTCCTGTAAGATGGGGAGAAGATTTTGCAACTCACCAAACTGTTATCGGGATTAAGTGAAATAATAATAGGTAACATTTAATGAGGACTTACCATGTGCCAGGTGCCATGCTCGATGGTTTACATTCATAAAATCATTTAATTTTCATAAATATATAAGGTATAAATTATTATCATCCCCATTTTCCGGAAGAGGATATAGAAGCACAGAAAGGTTAAACAACTTGCCTAAAGTTACCCAGCTGATAAGCAAAGCCAGGGTCTGAACCTAAGTAGCCCAGCTCCGAAGTCCAGCCTCCACCTCTGCTTGGGCTGCCCCTCTGCCCCAGACTGCCGGCACAGAGCTAGGCTCAATATCTATGACTGCCCCCATATTAGGATCTCTGAGCCCCACTCCCTCGCACCGCTTTTCTCAGAGCCTCAAGCTCAGAGGAGCCCCAGTTGGAAGACATAGGAGGCTGGGACCAGATCGGATTAAGGGATTATTTGTTTCGTCAGAAATGCACGTGCCCCCCACCCCCACCCCTAGCCCCTGTCGCCCCTCCCCCTACTCCCTCTGGGCCGGAGTACGAAGCCGGAGCGGGGTCCTGGGTTTGAGATGGGATGGCTCTGGGGGCAGCCTAGAAGGCACCTCCCAGCCTCTTACCGTGACTAGGAAAGTAGGGGAAAGGAGCTTGGGGCCTGAGGCTGGCTCACGGGTGGGCCGAGCGGCTGTGGGGGGGGTGGTGGGGGTGGGGGGTCGTTGGAGCCAGGATGGAATCCCACTCACTTCTCTTCCACCAGTTGCTTCTGATACTCCTCGTACTCCTCTCGGCTCATGCCCTGTGCTTCAGCCGCCGACTTGTCCCCGTCCCCCTTGTCCTCGCCGCCCCCCAGGCTCCCGGTGAGGTTCTTCAGCTGGCCGCCCACCATGGTCTTCACCATGAACGCCATGGTCTTCGCCGGCCCGGGTACTGGGCCCCTGGTACCACGCGCCGGGCACCAGGCACGTCCGCGCCTACTTCAGCACCAGGACTCGCGGACAGCTCCCGCCGCGGGCCCGCGCCCCACGCTTTGCGCCGCCCGGGCCCGCCCCCACTTTCCCAAACCCCTCCTCACGGGGGGCGGGGGGCACGCACGGGGCTGAGGAGGCTGGACCACGTGCCCGCTCCCCACTCCCGCCTCCCCCACGTGCCTCCTTCAACGCCAAGCTCCGCCGGGCACTGCTGACAGCGGATTAGGGCTGCGGTGGTGGGGTCGCTCCCCCGGGGAAAGGGGCTGCGCTGATATGCACCCGGTACCCTGTTCCCCACCCTTCTCCAACTACATCCTCTCCTGGGTCACTGATAACCAGGATTTCAGCTGGGAGATCCGGGTAGCAGCAAGGGGCAAAAACCCAGACTTGGGCCCCACCCCATTCTTACACTCTCCACGCGCCCCCTCCGCCCGCAACCCGCTGACCTGGCAGCTGCCCAAAGAGCTTGACACTGGGGGAGGGAGACCCCAGAGCGAGAGCGGGAATCCCTGTTATGCTTATATGAGTGTTCGCCTCTCAGAGTTCTTCTGTCACGTGCCTGCCCTGCTGCCCCTGGAGCTGCAGGGAGCAGGGAGGGAGAGTTGTTGGGTGATGCTAGCTGAGCTGGGCCAGGAGGGACACGGGGAAACATTGCTCCTTGTTCCGAGTGTATTTGGGGACAGAATTATGCACAGTTCGGATTCCCTCTCCCTCCGTAGTTCAGGGCTCAAGGCCTGTAGAGTATCTGATCTTTGGTCTCCTTGCCTGCCTGGAGCCCACTCTCGGCTATCTACCCAGAGGAGGTAGAAGCCTTCAGAGAAATTAAGGTGAAACTAGAAGGTAAATGAGCATATCGAAGCATGGGGGGAGGGAAATCTCCTTTAATAAGGTGGGAGCTCACCAAAAGCTAAGGCGTCGGTAGGAGCTGGGCACCCAGAAGGAGAGGATATTGGTCAAGTCGTCCACCCCCCAGACACCACCTGCTTCCCAGTGATGAGAAGTGGCTTTGAGGTGGGTCAGGCATGCATGCTGGGGGAGAGGGGCTGCCTCCTCACAGCCCCCAGGGCCCCAGGGATGTGTGGTGCAGGACCCAGAGGAAGGCTGCCTATGGACAAACAGTCGTGAGGGCTTTTGTCCAGCTCCTGCCTCCTGCCAGAGAGAGGAGAACGTTACTTGGGCCTCTCCCTTCTGGGATTTTGGAACCAAGACTCACACACTTGCTTCCCTGCACTCACTGCATCACAGCCTCCCCTGCTCTGAGACCTTCTATGGCTCCTTTGGCCTGCCACATAAGGTCCACATGTTCCCTCTGGCATTTAAGGTCTGTCCCGGAGACTCCAGGCTTATTGCCACCACTGCACTCCTATGTACATTCATACGCCTGTGATCATTTCCACCTGTGCCTTTTAAAGCTCAGCACACTTCACTTCTGCTCCAGGACCATCCTGGCCCACACTAATTCTTGTCTGGGAATGCCACCAACAAGGACTGTCAATCTCATTTCTGAGGCCCTTAGCAAAACCCCACATCTCTAAGTGGTGCACCTTCACTCGGCAAACACCCACCAAGCAGAAATAGTGACCTTCTCCACCTTTTCAGTTCTCTGCCCAATTTCACAAACTGGTTTCACCCTTTGCTCCAACCATACTGAACTTGCCCCTTTTCTCCAAAATATTATTCTTTTTTCATGCCTCTGTGCCTTTTCTCATGCCGATCCCTCTACATTAATGCCTTTGCGTATCTTGTCAGGCTGGAAAACTCCTAGTCACCCTGATGACTCATATCAAAGGTATGCTTCCAGGTCAATCCCCTGATCTCCCCAAGCTGGGTCAAGTGCTTTCTCCTGCACTCCTATAGCCCCTGAGCTTCCTGCTGTCATGGCAGTGACTACATAGGGTGTGACTATCAGTTGCTTTTTATCTTCTCACTCTAGAAAGTGAGCTCTGTGAGAGGGGGACCCAGATGGGGCTGAGGGGTAAGCAGGTGGTCAGCAGTGCCTGCTGAAAGAAAGTCCTGTCATGGCAGTGACTACATAGGGTGTGACTATCAGTTGCTTTTTATCTTCTCACTCTAGAAAGTGAGCTCTGTGAGAGCGGGACCCAGATGGGGCTGAGGGGTAAGCAGGTGGTCAGCAGTGCCTGCTGAAAGAAAGTCCTAGCCTGTGCTCTGCTTCTTGCCGTCTGGGGGACCAGGCAGGACCCCTCTGGGCCTCAGTGCCACACTCTCTAATCAAATGGCTATGGTCCAGAACCAAGATATGCTCGGTGGTGTGGGAAGAACTGCCCATGGGAAGGCCCACCTGAAGTGCAGGTAGCAGAAGAAGCCTACAGTCTGGATGAGGAGGAAGAACAGAAAGATCCCGGGGTGCAGGCACGACAAGGCCCCTAGGGACCGGCCAGATGGGCGGGGTGCCTTGGCTGCTGCTTTCTGAAAGAGGAAAGTCTAAGGTCCTGGCTCAGCTTCTTACCCAAAAGGAGTGAGGGAATCTGGAATCTGGGTCATGTGAGGGCTCCATTTCTGTCCTTCAGGCTTGGAGTGCTCTGACCCTTAACCAGGGAACTTGGAGAGGGGGCATCATACAAAGCTGCCTCCCTCACCCCAGATCCTATGGCTCCATCTGTGGGAACAGCTGGGAAGGCCTGGGGCCTGTGATCATCGGGGGGCCAAAGGCTCAAGAGATGAGAGAGAAACAGAGAGCAAAAGACAGCAAGGTCGAGGGCAAGGGGAAGAGCAAGACGGGACAGGGGATGTGGAAGAGCCGGCCCCACACTGAACTTGGAATGATCTTGGGCCCGGTCCACCCCATTTCCCTTTTGGTCTTGAGGGGGTTGGACCAAGGGGTCTCCAGGGCCTTGCTGGTGCTGAGAGTCTGTAGGACTCTCCAGAGAACAGAGAGAGTAGAGAGGAGGTGAGATCTGTGTCCTGCATGCATGCATGCATGCACAGACACAGACATAGATGTGCTGCAGGGGTCCTGGGAGGGGAGGGCAAAGGTGGGAGGGGCAGAAGTACTGGAAGAAGGGTAGCTGAGCCCAGGTCTCAGGGATGGGCCCCCAGGCTACCCGCTACTTCCCCCTCACCACCAGGCCCCGCAGGTCCTTCTGTAGGAGGCTCAGGATCTGGTCCAGCTCTAAGAAATGATGCTGGGTGCCCACAGGCAGGTAGAAGAGCTGCGCTCCTGAGGCCATGTGGGCAGCTGCATCCCTGGTAGGAGGTAGAAACCAATGGAAATGACTCATTACCCTTTCTGGTTGCATCCAAATCACCTCGTCATTTCCCATGATCTGCAGGGGCAGCATGGGTAGGGAACAGCATCATCTCTAAGGCCTCTTCTTGGGGGACAGTCTTTTCACCCCAAACCTTCCTAGACCCTGAAACAGCTTTAGGTCAGATAAGGATCTCCCTAAAGCTGTCTGTTTCAACCCCAGGCTCCCCTGGGCTCTGCCTTCCATCCCCAGTCCCCAGGGGATTTAGTTTTTTTCCTTCTTCCCATCGACCACCCCCAAGAATCTAGATGTGGGGAGGGGAGGGCATGGGTGTGCAGGAAGTGTTGGGCTTCAGCCACAGCATCCACAGACAGCATCCAGGTGGCCTCCCTACCCCCAGGGCTCTATGGGTAGCTCCCAAGGCCTGGCCTGGAGTGGGATGCTGGGAGGCTGGAGGGGACATAGTGAAATCAGGGACTGCCTCTTCCAACTGGCCTGATCTTGGCTGTGCTCCCTCTAAGAGTCCCCATCAAAACATCTCCACCTTCAGCTGTAACTGAAGGAAGCCCAGATTTACTAACCCTCCTGGGGTAGGGATGTCTGATGGGGGCCCTCACAGTGGGCTCCTCCCAGGAAGAGTTGCTTTTGAACTAGGACTTTTTTTTTTTTTAATGCTATATAAAGATGACCAGTAAGGGGATCTTAACCCTTGACTTGGTGTTGTCAGCACCACACTCAACCAGTGAGCTAACCGGCCATCCCTATATAGGATCCGAACCCGTGGCCTTGGTGTTATCAGCACCACACTCGCCCGAGTGAGCCACGGGCCGGCCCCTGAACTAGGACTTTCAAAACTGCAAACTTTGTTTTATTTTGGCGTTGGGGCAGTTCAGGGATCCGAAGCCTTGACATTGGTGTCATCAGTACCATACCCTAACTGAGTGAGCCACCGGCCAGCCCCAAAACTTCAAACTTGATTCAATTAAATTCAGGTCAACTCAACAAACCTAACTTCACGCTCAGCCCCTCCAATTGCCAGGCTTTTTGCTGAGTGCTCAGGAAATGATGAAAGCAATGAAGGGCTAATGGAGGAACTTCAGGTGGAGAAGCAAGTTGGTGGAGGGGCTTCTCTTCCCTCTCCTCAGGCTCTCCTCCTTGCCTTGTCCTTACCTCATTTGCTGAGTGCTCAGGAAATGATGAAAGCAATGAAGGGCTAATGGAGGAACTTCAGGTGGAGAAGCAAATTGGTGGAGGGGCTTCTCTTCCCTCTCCTCAGGCTCTCCTCCTTGCCTTGTCCTTACCTCATCTCCTGCAGAGTCTGGAGCAGAGTCCGCTGTCCACAGAGCAGGGCACTGACCTTGGCAGAGTCCTGCAGGAGGGCCAGCCTCTTGTCTTGGGCCCAGGCACAGCCCCTCTCAGAGCCCACCTTCCCCAGGGGCACTGCAGCTGTCCTCTTTCCAGAGGCCTTACCAGAGTACCAGGGCCTTCCTCATTTTAACACATTCAGTTTATTTGACCTCTGTCCATCTGGGCCTCTGGATTCCCGCTCCTTCCAAACTCTTCTCCCTAAGGCTGGTTGTTTCCCTCCAACATTGGCCACTCCTAGGACTTCTCAAAATTCCTCCCCTTTCTAAAAGTGGTTCTGCCCCCTGAAGGAGGCAGAGACCCAGCCTCTCTGCCCCCTTTCTCCCAGGGCTCAACCCAAGTTTGTCAACACCCAATGCTTGAGTCCCTGTCTTGCTGAGTGACTTGGAGGTAGTTGCCCCTCTCTGGAAGGGATGGAATCTGGCAGGAGAGGTGCAAGGCCTGGAAGTAGGATTGGAGAGGCCTGGCCCTGGTGCGTGGGCCAACTCCCCTCTTCCCCACCCCGGCAGCCCAGCCTAAGCTGCTCTGGCGTGAGGACACAAGATTAAAACCTCAAGCTGTCAGAGCCCAGCAAAGCCCACATGAGCTGCTGGCCTCCTCTGCCCAGTATCTAACACCTTGGCTGAGTTTAGCTCTCAGGCCCCCAGGCTGGGCATGCACTGGGGCATGACTCCCTGGGGGAGAAGCCAGGATGGCAGTGGAGATGAAGCGAGCATTCTGGTGCAACTGTGCATTAAGCAAGCTGTATGCAAATCACATGTGGAGCCACATGCAAATTAGCACCTAGTCTATTTCTGTCATTTGTCTACAGACTGGAACCCAGATACCCGGCATCTCCTCTCCCCAGTCCCAGCCGCTTCGCTCCATGGGCATATGCCTGTGCAGAGATGCTCTTCTGCATACTGCCCTGCCCATCCTCCAACCTGCAGCATTTCCTGCCTGCCCTGCTTTCCCTTGAGTCCTTGGGGGAGGCCACATCCTGACTGTAGCACTTACTCCTCTTCTAGGCCTGTAGGATGGTACTCACCCAGCTTCCTTCAGGCCTGGCCTGGCCTAGGGACCCCAGCTGCTCCTCCCATTGCCTCTCGGCCTGGGCCAGCTGCTTGGAGAGACCCTGGAGAGCCTGCAGGATCTGACTGTGTCTGCCCAGCATCTCCTCCAGGTCAAGGCCCCCTGGGGATTCGGACAGAGCTGGGATGGGTAACCAGCTGGGGTGAGGCAATAGATCCTATTTTGGCAGGGGGAGCTTCTTGGAGAGGAGCGCCAGAAGGGTGGCTTCTGTCTCCAAGACCCTCCCCTGGAAAATGGGTCTGCGTGGTGGGGTGGGGATAGGACAGAACATCTGGGCCCCAGGTCCTGCTTAGGTATGGCCTCTTCAGGCCTTTGTCTCCCCACTGACTAAAGGACTCCTGGTTCTAAGGGAAGAGGATCCCATGACACTCACATGGGCCCCTGCCCCACCTGCCCACTCCCTGAGTCCCTACCCTCTTCCTGGGCTTCAGACTTTGGCTTTGGAATTATGTCCTGCCTAGTGCCCAGGGGCAGCCTTGCCTGCAGCCTTTCCAGCTGCCTTGCCAGGCGGAGCTGCTCCATCTGCAGGAAGGGCTGAGGGGGAACCTGTAGGAGGAAGGCCAAAAGTCAGTCCCAAAACCCATGGGAGAACCAGAGGTGAGAGGAGCTTTCCCACAGGACCCCCATGAGCTCAGTCTCCCTCCCTGATCACACTTTCACCCCAGCCAGGGAAGATCCCTCAGCTCAGCTCTAGGCCCTGCAGATTCCAGCCCTCTGAGCTCTGCCTCCAAGCTGAACCCCACATCCTTCCCTTCCCACTGCAGCCTAAGGCCTTTATACAGGCTGCTTCTCCACTCCTTCAAGCTCATCTCCTCCAGGCAGCCTTCCTTGATGCCCTGGTGGGTTTGGGCCCTTCCTCTGGGATCTCACAGCTCTCTGCACCTTTTGAGACCCAGCACTGATCACTCTGAGCAGTAATGTAACAGCCTGACCCAGCCAACCTGGGAGGCCTTGAGGACAGGGCCTGGCCCCAGCACTGCCCAGAGTGAGGCCTGGCCTGAGCAGAGCTCAGAGGACAGGGGGATAAGGGCTGGAATGGCAGGTCTGAGGGCACCATGGTGGGGAGGAAGCATTCAGGGAGGGAAGGGTCCCAGGGCTGCCTCTCCCAGGTGGGCTGGGGCTGGCATCACCTCTGGACCTGGCTCACTCAGACTGAAGGTCAGGAAGGACAGGACATCATGGTCATCTGGAAGGGGGGTAGATGAAGGAGAAATAAGACCCCTCCACCCAGCAGCCCACTGGGTTGGCCCTCACCCCAGCCTCCATTATATCCCAGGCAGGTGAAAGATCTGGGTGACTTTGGGCAGCTCTCTGGCCTTTGTCTTGCTCCTCATAAGTAAGGTGTGAGGGTCAGACAAGTAAATGGGTGAGCTCTGAGGGTTGAACCAAACACACAGTCAGAGGTGGTCCCCTGGTGAGTGGGAAAACTGGGCAATCACAAAACGTTCTGGGCTAAAGCCATGGCAGCAAACCCAGCGAAACCCTCAGGCCCCCAGAACACGGCCACTACTGGCAGAAGCAACCACGTGGTTTCCGCCTCCCCAGCATGGTTCTGACCATGTCACTCTCCTCCTCAGAAGCCTTCCATGGCTCCCCAGTACCCAAGGTCAGAAAACCAAAGTCCTGGCATTCAAGGACTCCCACGCTCTGGTTGCCCCCTGCTTTCCAGCTGCAGGACACTCCATGGGCTCACATCGCATCACATCCCTTTGCTCCATTTTCCTAAATGTCCTTTATTGCTGTCCCTCTTCCACCTGCCCCAGAACATCCAGCTAGGGGCACTTCTGGGGCCAACACTGGAATAAAAGCGTCTCCTGTTTTATCCCATTTAAAACTTTCAACTGGAGCCGAGCCCGTGGCGCACTCGGGAGAGCGCGGTGCTGGGAGCACTGCAGTGCTCCCGCCGCAGGTTCGGATCCTATATAGGGATGACCGGTGTGATGCGCTCGCGGTGCGATGCGCTCGCTGTGCGGCTGGTCACAAAAAAGGACAAAAACAAAATAAAACAAAACAAAACAAACAAACAAAAAAACCTTTCAACTGGGCTGGCTCAGTTTCAATCAGTTAGCTCAGTTAGTTAGAGCACAGCCTTATAACACCAAGGTCACGGGTTTGGATCCCTATACCAGCCAGCCACCAGAAAAAAAGAAGAGACTTTCAGTAACCCTGAGAGGCTGACATGACTTCTCTCGATGGTAGCAGAAGCTCAGGGAAGGCTCATGACTTGCCAGCTCACATGGTAAGACCACGTCCATGCTCTTTAGAGGGCCCTCGGGATGATTCATTAGCCAGCGCCCCTCTGCTCTTACCTGCCCAGTGGGATCCTCACCTGCCAGGATGCTGGTGGCTGCTGAGACCCCAAAGAAACCTCCAGGGGCCAAAAGCACAGGCCCCACATCCACACAGACATCATCTCGGTCACCCGGAATGAGGCCGCTATTCAAGGACACCTGAGAAGCAGGGAGGGAGTGAGCTCCCTTCTTTCCCCTGACCCCAGCAGGGGGGGTTGTCTCCACCTTTGCCACATGGGCTTCCCTAGCCATGGAGGGTAGATAGCCACAGGGCTTGGTATCAGAATGTCATGGAGGTGACTGTGCTCCTGTTCCAGTGTTAGCCCTTACACACATGTGCTTTGGCTGTGAGAATTATGTGTACAAGTGCAGGATCGCAAGTGGACGTTGGCCCATATGTGCTGGGGATCCCACATACATGTGAGGACTCACATGCGTATGCTAGGGCCCTCATGTGGTGTCACAGGCACGAGTCTGTTGGGGTCATGGGCATCACACACAGCAGCTCTGTAACTCAGAGCCCTGTAATCTGCACTCCCCACCCGGAGGACCTATAAAAGTGGGGGCCGGGGGGTCGACTCACTCGCAGCCTCTGTCCCCAGTAGGTGATCCGTGCTCTGAAGGGGTATGGCCGATTCCGGAAGTCCCGATGACAGGAGCCCAGCTCCCAGCTGGCTCTGTCCCTGTGGGTGCTTAGAATCTAGCTGAGCCACAGAGGATCTGAGCCCTGGCCAGCAAGGGCAGGCCCAGAAACCGCTCTGCCCAGGCCTGCAGTACCACCCCCCTCCCCACTGGGTGACCTGATATGGGACATGTCCCTGTTGTCTAGCTTGAGTCTCCCTTGCTGCTCCCTTAGCAGAAGAGAAAGGGGCAGAAAAGCAAGCCCTGCCTGGTGGAGTGTTGGGACTTGGAGTTTATAGAAAAAGGGGCCAGGGGCCTCCCTGTGACCCTGCTTCAGAGGGACAGAGGCCTGGACCAACACTGGGGTTTGTGCCTTCAGCCCCCCAGCTCACCCCCTCATCCCTCTGCCCTTCTCTTCCTGTCCTTTCCTTAAATGCCAAGTCCCCGTTTGCCTCTGGGTAGGGCTTCTCTTTCCTCTCCCTTCTGCCAAGGCTTGGACTGCAGTGGAACAGACTCAGGAGAGACAACATGGGACATGTCCTAGCAGCCAAGGACAATTTGGCCAGCCCACTTCCCCCACAGGGGTGGCAGAGCAGGCTCTGGGGAGTTAAGAGGAGTGTTGAGCCCTGACTTTCTCTGGGCACACGGGCACATGGGGACACACATACGCCATGGGCAGCTCACACCAGAGCATCTGTCACAACAGCCGCCAGAGGCAGCACAGAGCAGGGAGGAGCCAGCTCCGGAGCAGCAACCCAGGCTTGCACTCCTAGCAGTGTGACCCTGGGCAAGTGACCTCACCTTTCCCAACCCCCATGTTCCCATCCTTAAAATGAGGCTAAGGATTGCAACGACCTCATACCACTGTTATGAGGGTTAACTAAGACAATGAATGTGAAGTGCTTGGCGCTGTGCCTGGCATACAGTGAGCACAGCTCCATAAATGTTAGCAATTATTCTAATTGTTATGAGCTGAGGGATGTTTGCTGAGAGGCACTGACAAACCGGCCCAGCGACTGAGGAGGCAGCCAGGCTGGGGAGGGGAGGGAGGCCACGTCATCTGGGAGAAAGGGAAGGAGCAGCTGTGCAGGAGAAGGGCATGGACCCTGCGCAGGCAAGTCTGGGCTCAGATCTCAGCTCTGCACAAGCTGGGTGAGCTCGGTCAAGTCACTTCACCTCTCTGGGTCTCAAGGTCCTCACCTGGAAGTGGGGGCTAATCTCCACTTATGAAGGGTGCTGGGGATAAGATGATTAGATTAGATGGGGGTAAAAATACTAATCACAGGCCCCAGTCTATGTCATTTCGTCTGGGGCTTTGGGTTGAGTGAATGGAAGACTCAGAAGAGCAAGCAAACTCTGGTCCTAGAGGCCCAAGGGGAACAGCTGAGACAAAGTGGGAGGGAGTCCCAGGGGCAGCCATCAGCTCAGAGGGAGCAGCCAGCAAGAACAGCAGCTCTAGGCAGTGTGGGTCCTTGTCCAAGGCTGAGGCAGGGGCACAGCTGCAGAGCCCCTCCCAGCCCAGGAGTGGGGGTGGGGTGTCAGTCCAGAGAGGTCCTTACCCAAGCTGCTCATAGCGGGTGTACCCGTCACTGGCCAGCACGCGGATGGCAGGGCTGCTCTACAAGGGAGGTGATCATCAACCTGAGCTGTGGGCACAGGGAGGATGGTGAAGGGCTGGGCAGTGGGTGGGTGGGCAGGTAGGAGGCCACTGCTCACCTGGGTGTCCTCGGCTGAGGAGTTGAAGAAGATCCCGATGCCATCCCATGAGGCCAGACCCCCCAGCACAGAGCCTACTTGGCCCCTGTCCTGGGTGTACCACACAGCCTGCAAGTCCCCAGCCCCTCAGCTCAGGGTCCCTGCAGGACACTGGAACCCCAGGGCTCATCACCCGCCTCCCTGACTCACCCCCCTCTGTTGGGCCTGGGTGGGGCCACTCACCATGCCCTGGGCTCCCCGGCGCCCCGGCCCAGTCACCCGCATCTGCACCTCCACCTCCCAGGCAGAGAAGAGGACAGAGGCCCTGCTCCACACAGAGCCTCTCCGGTTCCTCATGGATGGTGCCAGCCGCACTTCCTCCAGGCCCAGGATGGCGTCTGTGGACCAGGACAGCTCAGGGCCCAGGCCCCACTCTACCTCCACTCCCCATCACCCTCTCTCATGGGCCTGAGCTGGGTTCCAGGAGGAGAAAGGAGGTAACACCAAGACCTGCCATTAAACAATGGGCCAGGCAGACACAATGGGCTGGGCAGACGCAGGAGTTGACTGAAGGAGTGGGAATCGGAGCCTAGCACAGCTGGAGGGGCCTTTGCCAGGGGAGGGCAATAAATGCTGGCAGTTCACCTGCAATCTCACTTAAGCCTCACCACAAGTCTGTGTTGTCTGTTTTTATAAGACCCTATTTTACAGATGAGGAAACTGAGGCCCTATGAGGGAAAAGGAAGTGCCTGAGACCACAGACCATAGGAGAGCACTTCATGAGAGAGTAAGTGAGGGAGGTTCAGGACCCCGGGCTGTGCAGTCTTGGAGGGACACTCCAGTGTGGCCAGATGAGGCTGGGGCTTCCTGGTGGAGGGGACCTAGCGGGCATTCCAAGGTGGAGAAGGCATGAAAGCAAAGGTGCAGAGGTGAGAACCGGCCCGCAGGATGGGGGGAAAGAGGCAGGGTGAAGGGTGTGTGTGTGAGAACGATCATCAGTGTGGCCAGATGAGGCTGGGGCTTCCTGGTGGAGGGGACCTAGCGGGCATTCCAAGGTGGAGAAGGCATGAAAGCAAAGGTGCAGAGGTGGGAACCGGCCCGCAGGATGGGGGGAAAGAGGCAGGGTGAAGGGTGTGTGTGTGAGAACGATCACTGCTAGTGGTGGGCTGGGGAGGAAGGAGCCCTATATGAGTATGATAGGAGGGAGGGGAGGGGAGAGAAACTGAGGCAGACTTGGCAGGAACCAGGGGAAGAGAAACAGAGTCCCCACTCCCGCTGGCTCCCCACCCCTCCAGCCTGCCAGCCTGGAACCTGGCCCAGGGCCCAGACCCTACCAGGACTTTCTGGAGGCTGCTAATCCTGCCTGTTTGCTCTGCAAAGGCCGGGGATGGGGGCGGGGAGGCCCAGAGGCTGCAAGGCCAGAAGTCTGGGGGTCCCTGGAAGCTGCCACTGCCTCTGAAGTGACTGCAAGAGGCGAGGATTGTCTGCTGCCTGTGACACTTATGCATTCAGCCTTATGTGGATTGTTCGTGGGACCTCACCCCAGACTGCGGGCTCCTTGAGCCTGACTCTGTCCTGTGTATCTAGGCTGGGCACAGAGGAGCATGGGGGTGGGAGTTCAATAAAAGGATGAGTGAATGAATTAGTAGACAACAGACATACCACTGGGCGATCTTGGCGGATGTGCCTCTGCTCCCCCACATGGTCTGTGACACCAGACTTGGCAAGCCCCAGATCAGTGAGTGTTGCACAGGCCTGGCCATCCTGGCTCTGAGGCAGGGCCTGGCTTGGTGCTGTGAGATACAGCTCGCTCCTTTGTTTACCTCCTGTGCCTCTGTGAAGGAGGACTGGAGGAAAGATCCTGCTGATGAGGCCTGTTATCTTAAAGGGATATTCTGTTCTGTCCTCAATCAGGAGTTAGGCCATTTCTCAGAACTTATATCTCATAGATAGAAATACACAGCCAATTTGCTTTCTCTCTTTGCTTTGCCTGCTAGAAGACTTGTAACTAAACTCATGTTCCAACTCTGAGGTGAGCAGACCTCATGGCATATGTTTTGGAAACAAGTCACATTCCTAGACTAATTTAATGCCCTACTCTATATCTAAGTCTCATTCTTCCTGCTTACTTTTACTTTATGCTCCTTTCTATGGGATGGGTCCCAGGACTGGCCAGTTAGCTCAGTTGGTTAGAGAGCAGCCTTGTAACACCAAAGTCAAGGGTTTGATTCCCGGTACTGGCCAGATGCCCCCCACCCCCCAAAGTTACAAATATTGTGTAGGTCCTCAAAAGTCATCACAAATCCTCTTTGGAACAAGATCAGGTAGAAAACAGACTCTTTGTAGGTCCTGAACACAGACCTGTGGCTAAGAGGCTCTCATACCTGCTTCCACCCCCAACACACATACAGGGAAGGGCTGGCGCCCTCTCTGGCAAAACAGCTGGACATGGGGATGCCTGCCTCTAGGTAGCCCCCAATTCTCACGGACAGCCACAGGCCCGACAAGATGGGGCCAGTGGAATGGAGGTTTGTGCTGGTCCAAGTTGCCTTGTTTCTGTGTGTCTGGGACTTAGCGTGTGAGCATGTATGTGTGTGTGTTCACAGGTCCAAGAGGCAGAGGAAGGAGAGGGGGCCTAAAGAGAGGCAGAGAGAAGTCCCAGGGCAGAGAAGGAGAGAGGCAGAGAGAAACCAAGGCTGGTGGGTGGGAGTGGAGTTGTAGTGGGTGAAGCAAGAGACAAGCCTGGTAGGGGTCCTGGGGCCCCTGGCACTGCCTGCCCCAGGCCTGACCCCACTCTGGACAGAGGCTGGCACTGGGCAGACCCACTTCCCACCAAGTCATAGCCCCTCCAGCACTCTCAGGAACCCTGGGCGCGAACGATCCCCAGCCCTGCCCCTCACCTCCGTGATGGCTCCAGAAGGGTATTCCAGCCTCAGGCATTGCCATCCTAGGTCCTTTGAAGCTGAGTTTATACTCAAACCTGCGCTGAGGGTGACCGCCCTCAGGGCTACTGGGGGCCAGGAGCAGGAGAAGGCAGAACAAGAGATCTGGGCCACCAACCACCATCATCGTGAAGGGAGCTGATGTCTGGGTCCCAGGGTGGGTGGTAGCTGGAGGGCCAGGCTGGAAGGAACTGGTGACTGGCCAGGAGCTGGGTTTTGGCACTGTCCTCTCCCTCCCTCCCCAGGACGGACATCCTGTTCCTTCCAGGCCTGATCTCAGGCCCCGCCCCTCCCTCACCTCCTGCCTGACTTGGGCAGCCTGACCCTACCCCAATATGAGCTCTGGCTCTGCTCCTCCACTCAGGCCATCCTTCCACCTTCCCTCAGTTCCAGCAGCTGGGGGGCAGGGGGGGCACGGCTTAGGGATGCAGGGGGACAGGCCCCACCCTTCAGCAGGGGGTGGTCCTCCATATCCTGCCTCTTTCTCACACATAGGATGTCCTTATCATCTGGCCCTCCATCCACCCATCCTTCTTGCCTTCCCCTCAGCTTCTCCCCGCTGCACTTCTCTCCAGCCGTGATGCTCAGCTCCCTCCTACATTCCTGAAAGCTTGTCCTTCCAAGCAACCTGGTTTCCTCTACAAATAAATTACATGCAAAAAAGAAAGACGGTCTTAGGAGACAGAGCAAATAAATGCAATGTGTGGACCTTGTTTGGAGGCTAATTTTAACCCAACAACTGGAAAAAAAGAGACTATTGGGGAAATTTGAACAATGGATATTTGATTATATTAAGGAATTATTGTTAAAATTTTTAGTGTGTGGACCTTGTTTGGAGGCTAATTTTAACCCAACAACTGGAAAAAAAGAGACAATTGGGGAAATTTGAACAATGGATATTTGATTATATTAAGGAATTATTGTTAAAATTTTTAGGAGTAATGTGGTGATGTGATCATGTTTTTAAAGCTTTTATCTTTTGGAGAAACATACTAAAGCTTTATGGATGAATTGAAAAAATGTCTGGGATTTGCTTCAAAATATCCTAGGGCTTGGGGGGAGTGGGTGTGGTGTACGTGACACAGGATTGACCTTGAGTTGAGAACTGTTGAACCTGGATGGTGGAACATGGGATTCATTAAACTCCTCTTTATTTACTTTTATGTGTTTGACAATTTCCATAATAAAAGTTTTTAGGAGGTAAGAAATCCTATATTTCAAGGGCCAGCCCGTGGCTTACTTGGGAGAGCTTGGTGCTGACAATACCAAGTCAAGGGTTAAGATCCCCTTACTGGTCATCTTAAAAAAAGAAAAAAAGTATACACCTGAGATAATGCATGTAAAGTGCTCAGAACAGGGCTGGCAGACGGTGGGCGCTCAGCTGTGTTCATCTTTCTCTCCATCCCCTTTGCTTCCCCAGCCCAAGCCATCATTGGCCGGTCACCTACTGCCCAGCTGACTGCAGCCTCCCCACAGTCTTGTCTGCACTCTGGACCCCCTCTAGGCCAGTCTGTAGCCAGAATGATCTTTCTATTTTTTTTTTTCCTTTTTGTCTTTTTTACTGACCGGTAACGGGATTGCAATCCTCGGTGTCGCGCCCATACCAGGGACTGGCAATGGGATCGCAACCCTTGGTGCTGTGCCCACACCACACTCAGCCAGTGAGCGGGAACCAGTCTCCACATGGGATCCGAACCCTCAGCAGGAGCGCCGCCGCGCTCCCAAGCAGCGCACTCTCCAGTGCGCCACCGGGCTGGCAACCAGTCTCCACATGGGATCCGAACCCTCAGCAGGAGCGCCGCCGCGCTCCCAAGCAGCGCACTCTCCAGTGCGCCACCGGGCTGGCCCAGAATGATCTTTCTAAAATGCCGATCTGACCATGTCACTCTTCTGCCCTAAATCCTTCAATTGCTCCTGGTCACCTTCGCATCAAGTTAAGCCCCTCCTTGGGCCTGCAGAGCCATGTGGAGCCCGGGCCCTGCTTCCTCTTCATCCTCACTTGCTCCCAAGCCCCACCCTGGGCACTGAGCCCCAGTCACAACTTAAGTACCTCCCTACCTCTGCCCAGGCAGTGCCCTGTTTTTGCCCGTCCTTCAAGTGTCTAAGCCACCCTTTGACTCCCGCCGCCTCTGCCTCATTAGCTTGGTGCTGGCAGCAGCCAACACCCCACCAGATTTCTGGGCACCAAGTTGAGTCCTGAGAGGGTTCCCCCATCAGTCCATGAGCTCCTCAAGGGTAGGAACTATGTCTCTCTCATCTACGATGAGCCAGTGGCCAGCACAGAGCAGGAGAAGGGAAGGATGAGAGAAAAGAAAGAGGGAAAAACAAAAAAACAGAGAAGAGTAATGAAGGAAGGGGGGCGGGGTGGGGAGCAGAGGGAGACTCAGAATTAGGGCCGTGGCTCACTCAAGAGAGTGCGGCTCTGGGAGCGCCACTGCGGGTTCGGATCCTATATAGGGATGGCTGGTGCGCTCACTGGCTGAGCGTGGTGCGGACTGCACTGTGCCGACGGTTGTGATCCCCTTACCGGTCAGATATAAAAAAAAAAAAGACTCAGAATTAGAACATCTGGCTACCTGGGCTTACCTTCCTCGGGGTCCCATCAGCTGGGCCCTGTCCTTCACTCCTGTGTGTCTTATACCTGGTTCAATCCTCTGCTATGTTGCCAGCCTGGCCCCTATTGTGTCCCCACAGCCACAGGCACCATTGCAGGTATTCAAAGCCTAGCAGGCTTGGACCAGCTAGTGAGAGCTGCCTGTTAAAATCCCTGCCCACCCCTGTGTTCAGTGAAGTCAGGTGGGTAGCTTGATACCGGCAACGGTGAGGGAGTATTTACCCCATGACATCAGCAAATGCTGAAAATCAGAGCCCCCCCACCCCCCAAGCCAGCCCAGCCAGACCTAGATTTGGCTGTGAAACATTTACTGGTGCACCACTGCGTGTCTCTCTCCTTCTCGGCAGTCTCAGAGAGACTGTCCCTCTCCTGTCTGAGGCCCATCCCCTCTGTGTGCTCTGGGTTCCTGCCACCATCCATCACTATCATCTCCTCCCCTCCCCTCTATATCCTCTGCCTCCCTCTCTGTACGTGGGCATGATCCAACGTTCAATGTCCTTCCCCTTAGCAGTCAAATTTGCTCAAGCCGATGCTTTCTTTTTCTTTTTTTAAGATGACCGGTAGGGGGATCTCAACCCTTGGCTTGGTGTTGTCAGCACCACGCTCAGCCAGTGAGCGAACCGGCCATCCCTATATAGGATCCGAACCCGTGGCCTTGGTGTTGTCAGCACCACGCTCACCAGTGAGCCACGGGCCGGCCCTAAGCCTCTGCTTTCTTAAAAGCGGATCTCACGCATCCTCTTTCCTTTCCACTCCAGCTCAGCTTCTCAGAAGTCTGTCAGCCCCTCACATTGCCCACACCCTGCACAGGGCCCTACCAAACACAGGGGCTGCTAAAGTCAACAGCAGCCTCCTTGTGGTTAAAACCAAGGGGCAGACTCGGTATCCATCTCCATGCCTCTGGGAAGCAGGCACGGGGTTCCCCTTATTGCAGGTCTCTCCCGGTGGCCTCAAAGACACGCGCTGTCCTGCTTCCTCCTCCTCTCCAGCTGCTCCCTCTGCACTTTGTGTGCTCAAGCTCCTCTTCTTGACCTTTCAGTGTTGAGTTCCTCAAGGCTTGGTCCTGGGCTCTCTCCTCTCGTCTTCCCAATGTGACCTCATACTTGCCCATGGCTTTATCCATCTGCTGATGACTCTCAAACTTCCCTCTCCGGCTTCTGGGTTCCAACAATTTATTCAACACCTCTTGGCAGTTTCAAAGGCACACCTGAAATTCAACATGCCCTTAACAGAACTCATGATGCTCCCTCCTCAACATCAGTCTCTTGGTTCCCTTGCTGAGCAGGTGCCCCTGCCACCCTGCCCCCCCAATCCTGCTAGAATCAGGCGTCACTATGGCTCCTTCCTGTCCCTCACCCTCATACGAAACCCATTACCAAGTTCTGTCAGCTCTATCTCTTACATCTCTCTGGAGTCCCACCATGCTCTCACCTAGCCCAGTCCTCACTGCACTGCTCTCAGATCATCCCTGCCAGAAGCAAAGGTTGTCATTTCAATAACATATATCTGACATGTCACCTGCCTGCTCAAAACTTGCCACTGGCTTCCCATGGCTCTCGATTTGATAAAAGTGAAGTCCTCACCACAAATGTCTGTATATCATCTTCACCCATCTTCTCAGAGATCTCGGAACAAGCTGCCCTCCCTCCAATCTCAGTATCTCTTCCTGGAATGTTGCTAATCCTCCACCCATGCCTCCTGCTCATCCTTCTGATCTGAGCCTAAATGCTCCTCCTTCCAGGAAGCCCTCCTTGATCTACAGACAAGATACCATGTTATGCGTCTGCTTTATAACTTCTTAGTTTTTCATGGTCAATGTGTGATTATTTGACTGTCTTCCCAACTGTAAATTCCACGGGGTCTGGTTTGCTCACTGCTGAACCCCACTCCTAGCACACAGCTGTTATTCAAATACTTGTTTTTGAATGAATGAATGGTCTGGTTTTAGGAAAATTAGTCTGGCAGTGTGCACAAAGGATGGATTGGAGGAGGCAAAGAGGCTGCTGCACTGGGCCAGCAGAGATAATGGCAGCTGGAACTATAGTGGGTCTGAGGAGGAACAGGCACAAGGCAGAGTTCAAAGTCAGAAGCCCCTGGTCTTCAGGTCCTGCTGGCCTGGACAGGAAGCATCAGAGCAGCAATTACACAGGGGAATCCCCCACCCTGCTTGTCCCCATGAACAAATCAAGCTCCCCCAACCTTCAGAGGTTCTGTACTGACCTCTGCCTTTGGACAACCTAAGAGGGAGAACTCTCCCTCATGGTTGGTCATTTCCCTTCTGTGCCCCCATAGGCGGGGTGGGGAAAGGCTCTCTCCCCACTGGAAGGTGCCTGGGGGCAGGGCCTGGATCTCCTCCCGCCCCCTGCATCCTCAGCCCCTGCAAAGTCCAATAAGGCACAGGGCTTGGCACACAGCAGGGGTGCGGATGGGGCAGAGCTGTTGCATCTTACGCAAAATGTGAGAACCATCAGAGGCACAAGAGTACTCCCCTTCGTATCACCCCCTAGGGGCAGCATCTTCTGAGGCATGAGACCTTCATCTTATTTCCTACCGAGGGTCCCCACCCAGCTCCCAGGCCCACCACCGCTTTTTCTCATTCTTGAACAGGGGGCTTGACTGGGATCATCTGCTCAGGCCTAGGTGGCCACCATCCTTGGCTCCAGCCCTCCCTGAGCTTCAGCGGAAGAGGCAGCCAGACCCCACCAAGGAAGCATCCTGTGGATGGGGCCTTGATGCCAGGTGGGGCCCCAGACGCGAGGTGGGGCAGGCAGCGAGCACTCTTCATGGGCAGACACAGGACACTCACTCGTGCAGCTGACACAAAGCGGCGGCTACATCTCCTGGCCATGCTCCCCACCCGGCCCCACTCACAGAGACAGGGGGATGGACAAGATGGCATGGGGGGACCACTGGGCAGGACAGGCAGGATCAGTGGAGGAAGCGCCGAGGCTGGGTGGCGGTGTCCTCATGGCGTGGTTTATTACGATTCCATCTCACAAGGCGGGTGGCGAGCGGCAGTGGCACATGAAATCCAAGCCCCTGACAGACGTCTGCCTTGGGCACATGCAAACAGTGCAACATGGTCAAGCGCAAACACGGGGCGGACCGAGGCGACACGGGACACAGAACACGGAATGGGGACAAGGCTGGGGTGATGTGTCCTGATCCCACCCTGACCCTTGTGGGCAGGGCAGGAAAAATAAGATTCGTACTTCTTGTAAAATGCCCATTTGCTGGGTATTTTCTTTCTCCGTATCTTGAAAAATAATAAAAAATAAACACACAGAAAAAAATCTCAAAAAAGGAAGGGAATAAAACTCTAAGAAGGAGAGCGATGGGAGGCCCAGGAAGCCTGACCACTGTAGGGGCGCTGCCTCCTGCTCTTCAGCCTCCTCCATTCTTGGCCCCTTCAGGAGGCTCCCCAAGCCCCAAAGGCGGGTCCACAAGAGAAGGTGCCAGGCCTAGGCAGGGTCCCTGGGGGCCAGAGGGGGCACAGGCTGGGGCAGAGGAAAGAGGCTCTCCTGCTCTTCAGCCTCCTCCATTCTTGGCCCCTTCAGGAGGCTCCCCAAGCCCCAAAGGTGGGTCCACAAGAGAAGGTACCAGGCCTAGGCAGGGTCCCTGGGGGCCAGAGGGGGCACAGGCTGGGGCAGAGGAAAGAGGCCCACCGGCCCGCTGGGGCTCAGTTCCAGTTTGGGCCCAGCAAGCAGGGTCCACGACCTTCCGGGTTCAGTCCCCACAGGCCCGTGACTGGGCCGAGGCCGGTGGTCACAGGCGCAGCTCGTGGGTTTTGATGTGCTCGAGCTGCTCTCGAAGCTGTAGGAAGGAGGGCCGCACAGCGGCGTCCAGGTGCCAGCAATTCTTCATGACCTCGTAGACTGCGGGTGGGCAGCCATCGGGGGCGTCCATCTTGTAGCCCTTCTCCACCCGAGGGACGACATCCTTCAGGGGCTGCGGGCAGGTGCATGGTATGAGTCAGTGCAGGGCCTGACTCCCCAGCATCCCTCTTCAGGGATCCCCTTCAGCTGCGCTTCAGACACAGGCCCAAGAAGCAGCCTGGAAGTTCCCCGGGGAAGGTCTGTGCTTCTAGGCCTCAGACTGCACAGGCGGGGACCACCACACCCGTGCCACCCTACCTTGCTCCACGCCCCACCCCCAACCCAGCCATGCCCCTGGCCCCAGCCTATACTCACAATTCTTGGATAAGGCACTCGCCCAAAGGAGTAGATTTCCCAGAGAAGGATTCCAAAACTCCACACATCAGACTTGGTGGAGAATTTCTGCCATGTGGGCGGGAGAAGCAGCGTCAGGTCCTGGGAATCTGGGGGTTGGGGTGACCCAGGACCCCCACCCACCAATGCTCTGGCCTGGAGGGAGGCCGTCTCACCTTCTCTCTCAGGGCCTCGGGAGCTGTCCACTTGACTGGCAGTTTGCCCGTGTCCTGGGTGCTGGAGGCCTCCTTGGTAAGGCCAAAGTCGCTGACCTTGGCCACGTTGTCCTCAGACACCAGCACATTGCGGGCAGCCAGATCCCGGTGTACGAAGTTGTTGCCCTCCAGATATTCCATGGCCTCACAGACGTCTCTGGGGGCAGGCCAGTCACATGTCCCCTCAGACTGGGGCTCCCATAGCAGGGTGGGGTCCCCTTCGAACCCCCCACCCCTGGCGCTGCTTCACTCACAGTGAGAACTTGAGGAGACAGTCTCCGCCCAGCACCGACCGACCCCGTGACCGCAGATAGTCCACCAGGCTCCCCTGGGGGGCAGGACAGACAGCCCCCCAGGTCAGACTTGCCCTGCAGCCCTCAGGAACAGTGGGCTTGGGGGCTGGGTAAATGGTGACACCCACGGGAGGTGTGAGGAGAGGGAAGGAGCAGGGGAGGGGTCCCACATCCTTGCTGAACACTGTGCTCAGCAAGACTCAGCATGGTCTCTTTGAACTCGTAATACAACTCTGAGGTAGGCTTTGTTATTATCTCCACCTCGCAGGTGAGGAAAGCGAGGCTTGGAGAGCTGCGGGACTTGTCCAAGGTCACAGTCAATAAGTGATGAGCCAGGACAAAATGTGAGCCCTGGTGACTTCAAAGCTCAGTTGGGACAAGGGGGACTGAGGGAGCAGGGGCCCATGTGCATGGTGGGAGGTTTAGGGCAGCTAGAAGGCCCAGTGTTCAGTCCCAGATCTTGGGGCAATGCCCACCTTGGCCATGTACTCAGTGACGATGTAGAGCCCGCCCTTCTCCTCCACGATCACGCCCAGAAGCTGTACCAGGTTGCTGTGCCGCAGTTGCCTGGGGCAGGACGGGGGTGGTCAAAGCCCGCCAAGCCTCCCCTTACTGCCCTCCCACCCCAGGCAACCTCCCCACCCACCCCTGCTCCAACTCACGTCATGACCGAGGCTTCAGCCAGAAAGGCCTGGGCAGTGGCATCGTTCTTAATGCACTTGACAGCAACTTTGTTCCCTCGGTAATCGCCCAGCATCACATCTGTGGGGGAAGATAGCTAGGGCTGTTCCCTGGACTCCCCACAGTCCCTTGGACCCTCCTGGGACCCCCAGCCCCTCCAGCTCACCTCCAAACTCCCCCTTCCCGATGGTCTGCAGCAGCTTCAATTCCTTCATGTTCAGTGCCCAGCCACCTGTGAGGAGGGGCCGGTGAGGGGTGTGGAGGCCAGGCTGTGGGTCACAGCTGGGATGACAGAGGCAGACTGGACTATCATGTGTGTGGGGTTCCTTGGAGGTCTCCAGAGCCCCCTGGATGGGGCAGTGCACGGAAGCCTGGGCAGGTGGACGGGGTGGGCAAGAGGTCTGGGAGTGGGGCACACTCACTGCGGTAGAACTCATCCTGGGCCGCCACTGTGCCCTCCATGACCTTTGGTTTGATGAGGCGAGTACAGAGCCCATCTGCGTCTGAGGTGTAGTGCTGGGGAGGGGAGGACAGGGCGGGGCACTCAGAGCCAGCCCCCACAGCACCCCACCACCCAGTTGTTCACATGCACCACCCAGGCCTGACCACCAGAGGGTGGCAGAGGCTGAGCCCGCCTGGCCAGCCGTTGCTTTGCGTGGGGAAGGCTCCCTATTTCTGGCAGGGCAAGGGTTGGGAAAACCCTACTCTGACACGTGACCCATTTCTCCTGCCACTCAACACCCACTGTTGGACAAACACCCAGTTGCCACTACCACTCTGTGCCTCGCCAGTATCCTGAAGCAGAGGGCAAATCCTGGCTCGGTCCTGATACCAACCTCTAACCAAGTGTGCCAGGGACCCCCGCCCTCCCCTACCACAGGCCACACCAGGCCAGCAGGCGGAATATGAGAGTGAGTATGGTAGACATCTGGGAGTCTGCCTGCGGCTACTGGATGCCAGGTGTAGCCTGGCCAGGGCTGGCAGAGCCAGCCTCGGAAGCTGCAGGAACATGTGGGCACGTCCGTGCAGGTGCAGAAGCCTGGGGGACCTGGCCATCACAATATATAGCTCATGTTTATATACACACATCTGGGCACGTAGTTCTGTGAGTGGCTGAAGGGAAGTTAGTTCTTGGATTAGACAGACTGAAGGGAAGCTAGTTCTGGCACCTCCAATTTATGGCTGTGTGACCTTAAGCAGGCCCCTTAACTACTCTGAACTTTCATTTCCTGGTCTACAAAATGGGGCTAATGCTACCCTCCTTGAGGTGGCATTGTGGGGTCAGAGACCAATCCTGGCATGCAGCAGGTGTTCCTGTAAAGATGTAAGGAAATGAGGGCTCACAGAGGTTGCTCAATGTGCCCGGCTCACCCAGCAAGAAATAGTGGGGCTGGAGCTGGAGTCCAGAGTTGTGTGCAAGTGTTCCCGGGTGGGTGGGCTCAGGAGGGTGTGAGCGTGCGGGGTGAGGCCACAGCCAGGTGCCCTACTAGCTCACCTCCACCAGCTGCATGAGGTTCTCGAAGTACACCTCCTCATCGATGCTGAGCTTGCTGGCATGGTACATGATGCGGTAGTGCTCCACCTTGCCTTCGCAGCTCACGCACAGCGTGTAGTCCCCGGGGTAGTTGGTGCTCTCCCGCACCAGAAACAGGCCTGTCTCCGGCGGGTAGAGAAGCCGCTCGGCCTGCTCCCGTGTGATCTTGCCATGGAACCAGCTAGGGGGTGGTGGGGCCAGGAGTCATAGTGGCCCAAAGGGACTGACCCTGGTGCCTCCTGCCAGCCTCCCCCATGCTTCTGCCAGCCTCCCCTTTCTGAAGGTGCTCCCTCTGGTCCCTTCCACGGGGTATCTTCCATGGTTCCCACTTGCTCAGTCAGGTACCTGAGGCCCTCATTTTCCGCTCCCTGTCCCTTCTGTCTTCCGCCCTCCTATGCCATCCTCCCCTCTCTGTGAGGTCCAGCACCCACACCCTGTCCCTCTCCTCAGGAAGCCCCCACCTACATGCCAGCACCTGGCTCTAGCCCCCTGCTCTCTTCTGATAAGAGACAACAGGGCCTGTTCTTCTTTTCTCCCTAGGCGGGGTGGCCCCGACCCCTCTTCCAGGTACTCACGGCATGAGGCTGAGTTTGGTACCCGCCTTTACGCCCTCCCGCTTCTGGACATAGTTGGCTGGAATGATGCCCTCACGGCCCACCTTGTTCTTGGCTTTGTACCAGTTGGGGTCCTGGGGAGGGGGCAGCCCAGACACACTTTCAGGCCTAACCTCCTTCACAGGGAAACCAAGACCCAGAGAGAAGCCCCAGAGGTGGGTTCCCTGAGTACCTTGGTGACAGCCACAATGGTGAGCACGTCTCCTTTGCAGAAGGGAAGGTCCTGCTCAGCGGTGCCATGGAAGTTGTACTTGGCAATACATTCTGTACCGGATGGCCAGGCGGCCTGCAGGGCAGGCAACAGGTGGGAGGGTGCAGCCTTGGGCCCCTCTCCACCCACCTGCCTGCACACGCTCAAGGTCACAGCTTCTTAGCTGCCCTCCCTGAGTCTGGATGAGGCACTCCTTCCCCCGAGAACTCTGGGTCCCTTCCAGCTGAGATTCCTCCACAGGCCCCAGAGCCGTGCTCCTGTCTTGAGGCCCTGTGTCTGAAAATGCACACTAGAATTCTACTTTATTGAAAGCCTGGGATGGGACAAGGGCTGGGAAAAAGGGGAATGGTTTGATCTAAAACCTCATTCTCTTTCCTGGGTATGCACAAATACCCTACACCCCACAAGCCCACGGTACCTGTATTGCCGACATCTTCTCAGATCTGGCGTCCCTGTGTTACAGGAAGGCTGACGTGTCACTTGGTACCATTAGAGCTGTGGCAGAAGGGCAAAGATTGGGAAGGGGTGTGAGGAGATGGCCTCCACGCAATCACTGAAATCCAGATCCTTCCCCACAGGAGTGTGAACAGGTGCCACAGGTTTCCTAGAGTTGGGACTTGGGGCAAGGGCTGCTCTTTCTAGTCTCAGCAGCCTGAGGGCACTGAACAGAGGAAGAGGCAGGAGCATGGAGGCTGAGGACCCTCAAGGACAAAGGGGGCCAACCCCAAGCCCCAGGAGCCTTACAGGCCCAACAGAACAGCCGAGAGAGGCAAAGGACACTCGGAGGGTTGGCAGCACGAGCACCACCTGCCATCAGCCCCATCAGTCCCAGGAGCTAACTAACATGGGGGAAGGGGCCCAGGCAGCTCTGTGAGACTGAGAAGGCTCTGTGTGACCCAGGAAGTCACTCATGCTCTGTGAGCCCCCCAGGTCCTTTAACTACAAGAGCTTGCCCTGCAGCATCTCCAAAGCCAAATGCACACCGAGCCCACTTCCAGGTACACACCCAAGAGAAAACAGCAGTGTCCACCAAGGTAGGCCCAGGAGCACTCCCAGCAGCATCATTTGTAATAAACCTCAAACTGGGATCTGCCCAGATGCTCATCAAGAGTAAAGCGGATAAACTATGCAGATCCACAAAATGGAACACTGTACAGCAGTGAACACGAATGAACTACAGCTCACAAAACAATGCTGATGAATTTCTAAACATAGTGTTAACCGAGAAGCCAGACAGAAAAGCACATACTATGTGATTCCGTTTGTATAAAGTTCAAAATCGGCCAAACCAATTCATGCTGTCAGGACAACAACTGCCCTTGGGAGGGGGGGAGGGACTGAAAGGGGTGCAAGGGGACCTCTAGATGCTGGTTATATGCATTTTCAGAGCCCAGTCATAGGGTGGGTTCACTTTGTGGCGATTCACTGAGCTGTACCCTTACGGTTGGTGCACTTTTTGGTGTATGTTTACTTTAATAAAGTTGACTCCCTCAAAAAGCTACCCTGCCAATTCTGTGCCCCAGGTGCAGCAAGCCAAGCCTGTCTATACATATGTACTTTGCAGCCCCAGCCCAGAGCTCCCTACAGGTGAGGAAACTGATCCTTAGACAGGGCCAGGGGCTTCTCCATGGTCACAGTATGTTAGAAGAGAATCTCTTTCACGAGCCTCGACGCCAGGCTCATTTGATGGGATGGATGAAGTCCAGGGACTGGGCTGCTGGTTATACACATCAGCACCTACCCCAGGCCAGGCAGAGGGAGAAGACATCTGAGCAGGCGCTGTGGGGTGTTAAGTGAGCAAGGACTGCACAGCTTACACAGGCTTCCTGGAGGAGGCAGCGCTGAGCCTCGAAGACTGGAGGGCTTAGAAAGGCAGAGTGTGGCCAGAGAAGGCAGCCCAGATTGGTGCAGCAGCCTGACCAAAGGGTCGGGCTAGGAGGCAGGCATAGCCAAGAGAAACTGGCATGAGTGGAAGATGATGGTGACGGCAGGTGGGAGGCAGACTCTGCCCATCTGGGGCCCAAGGAACCCGAGCTTCCACAGTCCAGCCCAAGTCAGTCTGCTGCAGGGGATGGTTTCAAGTGGGCCTGGCATAAACCTTGCCTGGTGGCAAGGGGCTTTCCAAGGCCAATGTAAAGAAACGGGGTTTGAGTCTGAGGGTGATGGGGCCTGGGGCTTCAGCAGGGGAGCCTATGATCTTGGAGAGTGGAAGGAACTGGGGAGAAGAGGGCCAGGGAAGACAACCACCACTTCCAGGCCACATACCTGGTTCTACAGCCAGGCAGACCTGAGCTTAAAACCCAGCTCTGCCAAGTGTGCAACTCAGGGTGACAGAGGTCCTCTACATGCAGGCTGTGGAGGGAGTGGAATGAGGCCCCAAACTTGGAAGTGTCTGGCATGCCTCCCACCACTCCCCCAGACAAAAGGACTTCCCTTCCTCTTAGGACACGGTCCACTCCGCCCCCAGGACCCAGCCCATCAAACCCAGCAGGGACACTGAAGCCCAAGGAGGATGAGCCTGGAAACCCCCACGTCTACCCACATTCACACGGCTGAACCACCCTGGGGACAGGACCACCCCACCCCCAAGGTCCTCTCAGACTGCAAGTTATGGGGGACCTGTGAATCCTTCTTACCCCCATTTTATAGAAGCGGAAACTGAGGCTCAAGAACGAAGTCACACATTAGCTGGGGGTGACAGCCCAGAGCTTGAGTTGGGGTCCCACTGTGGTTGGCTGGGCCCCAACCTTCAGGACCTTGTGAACAGGGGTCCTGCTACCTCTCCACATCCCTGTGCCTCCCCCTCTCTCCCAAAACTTGCTGCCGCTGCCACTGCAGGAGGCCTCAGAGGCTGTGGCACTGTTAGTCACCCTTCCAGCTGTCAGTTTACAAACACTCCCTTCGTGGCCTGCAGCTGCCGCCGCCACCACCTCCCCATTGCTTTGATGATAATAATAAAAATAATAACAGGCCTTGTTTTCTGAGCACTTACTCTGTGCCAGGCCCTGTCCTTGGCACATTATAGCTCATCAAATCCTCTAACAACTCCAAGAGAGAGGCTATCATTATCCCCGTTTTAAGATGAGGACCCAGAGGGAGGCCCAGAGAGGCAAGGTGGCCTTGCCTGAGGTCACACCTAGAGTGAGCATCCTGTTCCACTCAGGTGTCAGACTCCTGAGCAGTTTGGCCTGTCCTCCCCCAATCCCCTGGTGCCTCTCTGCCCCACACTATGCCCCCAGGAGTTGCCCTCGGGCACAGAAGGTGGTGTTGAGAGGAAGAGGCAAGCCCAGGAGTGGTCAGGAGGAGCAAGGTGGTCTATCTCGAAGGGCTGGGCTTTAAAGGCTGCAGAGGATCTGGAAAGGGGAAAGAGGAGCTAACCACCTTTATTCTACCGGCTGTGAACTTGGGACCCAGTTTCCCCCTCTGTACAATGGACTGGTAATAACCTTGCAACTCCAAGCGCTGCTCTGAGAACTGGAGTCACTGCCTCTCAGCACCAGGAACGCTGCCTGCCTTGCCACAGATGCAAGAGGGAGCCTTGACCCTCTCAGACAGCCCCTCCCTGGTGAGGTCATGAGCCCAGGATGGCTCAGCAGCCTCCCAGCCAGTGCCTGTGCTGGGGCCCCCTTCTTATGGCATCCCCAGGAGGTGAGCCCCTCCCCCTCTGAGTCACAGGCTGAGAGAGCCAGAGTGGCTGGGAGGGGCTACTGCAAACTCAGGCCTCCACATCTAGCCTGTCAGGCACAGAGGGGGGTCCTTTCTGGGCTTATCTGAACTTAGGGCCAGGCCACTCTACACAGGCAGTGCAGGAATGCTGTCCTAGGCGTCATGTACATGGTTTTGCCACCAACTTGCTGAGTGACCATGGAAAAGTCACTTGACCCTTCTGGTACTTGCTGGCTCCTACCTGCCAGACAAGTTTCCCACTTGCAGTTCCCAGGACATCTGTACCCTGCCCACTTCCCTGCCTTGCTATTTCCTCCCCACTCCCACCCTCTTCTCTACCCAAGGAACTTCCACTCAACCTTGGGGGTGCAGCTGAGGAATTTCAGCTTCTTCTGTTGTACACATGCCTAAGAAAAAATGTAGTAGGACAATCCCTGCAGTATACTGTTTGGAGTAACAAGAAATGGGGAGACAGCCTTTATGTCCACTAGTGGGGGACTGGGTAATAAGTGACCAGACCTCCCCAAAAGGGAGCAGCATAGCTCCAGCGGTGATGGGGCCAGAACAGATCTCCAGGCGCTGATACGGAACACTTCCAATGACATAGGAAGTAAAATGGCAAAACACCAGCTCAAGTCATTGGAGGAAATTGCTGGGGGAGGAGGACAGAGACAGAGCATTCAAGTACCACCCAACGGACTAATCAGAAAGAGGAAAAAGCACCTTCACAATAGGGAGATCTGGCAGTCACTTCCTTAACCAAGTGATCCAATTAAGCATCACCAAAAAGGAGACAGGCTGGCCAGTGAGCTCACTTGGGAGAGTGTGGTGCTGGTAACACCAAGGTCACAGATTCGGATCCCCATACCGGCCAGCACCATAAAAATAAATAAGTAAGGGGCCGGCCCGGTGGCTCACTCGGGAGAGTGCGGTGCTGATAACACCAAGGCCCCGGGTTCGGATCCCATATAGGGATGGCCGGTTCGCTCACTGGCTGGGCGTGGTGCTGACAACACCAAGTCAAGGGTTAAGATCCCCTTACCGGTCATCTTTTAAAAAAAAAATAAAATAAAATAAATAAATAAGTAAATAAAGGAGAGAGGACAATAAGTGCCTCCTGTGTGACATACTGAGGAGGACACAGCATCACTTGTGTAATATTCCTGCCAGAGCTGTTTAACCTGATTCCAATCAGGAAGGAGCAATCAGACAAATCCAAAACAATTGCCCTGGATTCTTGACATCAATGTCATAAAATACCAAAAAAGGGGGGTTGGGGGGATAGAGAATGTTCTAGATTAAATAGGACACTAAAGAAACATGACAACAAGATTCAATACATGATCGTGAATTGGATTCTGGATTGGGGGTGGCAACCAGCTATAAAAACCATGTGAGGACAGTTGGGGAAATGAAAGTAATAGACGGTATTATAGAATTAATGCCAATGTTTCAAAGTGTGATCACAGTACTGTGATTATGGAAGAGGTATACGCTAAAGTTCTCAGGAGCGAATGATACGATGCCTGCAACTAACCCTCAAACAAATCAACAAAATACCCCACACACATATGTCTACGCAGATAAAAGAAGAGGCAAAACACATGTGGCAAAATGTTAAGAACAGGGAAGCCTGGGTGGAGGATATGTCAATATTCATTGTACCACTACTTCAACTTTATGGTAGGTTTGAAACACTCACAATAAAAGGCTTTAAAACAGCCAGGTGCAGATAATCTATGGTACACTACCAGTTGTGTTTTGTTTTTTTTTTAAAAGATGACTGGTAAGGGGATCTTAACCCTTGGCTTGGTGTTGTCAGCACCACG